TTTAATAAAATTTTTTTTTTTACATTTTTTTTTCCTCTCTTTAGTCTTTTGAGAAAAGCACTAGACACGCATTGGCCGGAACGGGGATTATATATAAGTATAGTCGTATTAACACACTTGTCCAGCTCTCCCTTACTTCCCAGCCCCTGCAGTAATGTACTAAATCTTCTAAATGTGACTACTTAGTTACCTATATTAATATATTAACTGTGACTAGTTACCTGTATTATATTTCGTCTTTCCTTCGTTCGTCGTTCTCCACAACTTCTTGAAGGTCTGGCGGATACACCGGATTTTCGAAACAAAGTCGCTATATATTTTAAAGATCTCGTTAATCCAACTGCGCTTTAAGCGTTAGGTGAGGAGGTCTCTGGTTCGAATCCCGGTAGGAACAATTTGGGAAATAACTTCTTTCTAAACTGGTTCTAGACTGAGAGTGTCCCTTGGTGAATTTCGTTGCTCTGGTACTCGTGAAGTGAATGCCCCAAATTATTTTTATTAAAAAATTAAATACGCGCTTGACCTCAATCTCACTTGACGGAAAGTGACGATGAGGTCGATGATGGAGCATGCACATCTAACTAACACCTACTCACTCTCGACCTCAAAAGGACCAAGTTATAGCGTTCAGGGACCATATCACTGCAGGGAATTCCATTTATAGCCATTCGGTATATAAATATGGAAGCGAAAGGCAAAGTTTGAGACCAGATAGTTGATGTGGTTTCATGATTTCCGGTTATCATCATTCTCAGCCCATGGAACCTTTCCACTGCTAAGTACGGGTTGCCTTTCAGGCGAGAGTTTTAGTCCTTTGTCTGCCACGCTGATCCAATGCGGGTTGGGCACTTCATACGTTTTCCGAAGGTTGTGAACTTTCCTCGACATATACAGGTTTTAACACGATGTTTTTGTTCACTAAAAAGCTCACGGTAAATTTCAAATTTAAATTTCGTACATAAATTCTGAGGAACTCAGAGGTGCGAGCCCGGATTCGAACCCACGACCCTCTACTTGACAGGCGGACCGTTTAAACCATTAGGGTATCACGGCTTCGGCATTTCTGGTTCGGTAGTTCATTAATGCAAACGTTCATTTGGGCGAATGGTTATTACATCGATTATTCTACCGTTCATTTTACAAAAACAAAAGACAAACCCATTAATTTAAATTCAAACTATCGTTATTTTGTACATAAGGAAGCAAGTTACACTTGAGACCATCGAGTTGATTAAAACACTCATTTTTAAGTCATATTGCCTTGAGCATAGCGATCAAAAGAAACTCAAGGGATTGCTTTTTATATTTATTGAAAAATATATGTGGAAATAGCTGTATTATAATGTTTTATATGAAGTTTATAACAATTTGAAAACTCGGAAATGAAACAATTTTTTCGGATCCAAATAGATTGGAATTGTAAGAAGATCGTTTTCAATAATTTGCCCACTTCCTGAAGCAAGTATTACTGGTCGAAAGGAAAAGTTTCAACGGTTGGCGGAATGTTTGTGTGAATGTTTTGCGCAATTTCCGGTAACCAATTTCAATAAAACTTGGCAAATAAATGTAATTCCACGAACTTTTGAGGTCGGTTATTTAGTACTCTGTACTGAGATTATTTTGGATCCAATTGAAGACAACTTTTATTTATTTATTTTAAAGACAATCAACAAGACATGCAATAAATATAAGAAAGTTGAAACAGTGACGCAGACTTATTACCGAATTCTGCCGCAATTTAAGGTCGCTACGGCTTGCAAATGTGGACACGATAGAAAAAAATTATAAACAAGTTGATCCAATGAAATAAAAAAAAACTTTTTAAATAAACCATAACTTGAATAACATAAATAGCTACAACTAATTAAATATTATTAACGTAAACAATATATCGCACTAGACAACTAACATAGTATTTATTATCTCAAAAATTGCGTTATATTATATTTTATCTCAAAATTGCGTTATATTTAATAATTTATCTCCAAAATTTCGCTATATTGATGTGTCATTCATATACGATTAAATTTCAAAGTGACAGGACAACACTGTCGCTTTGAAACTAAATAAGTAATATTTATATAATTTAAATCCATTTTGAGATAATACTATGTTAGTTGTCATGTGCGATATAAACATTAGATCCCTTGGTCGCAGCAGATATTTATAATGGTGTATGTTTATTTTTCAAACAAACCAGTCAGTGAGCTTTGACTAGAGTAATCTGCAGATTGCCTAACCACTCAGCTGCTTTCAGTAGAACTATTAAGGACCTGTAAAGCACCCTAAACTTTGGTTAATTTGAAAAAAAAGTATTCGTTAACCTCGTTAGTGACATTTTTTTTCCTATCATCAGGAATCTTATTTTGGAATACATTGCCCATAAGAGTCGACACTACCTCAGCTCGAATCCATAATTTTCCAGTACTAATACGGTTCATTTTGTCTCATGTGGGGTAAAGCGGCAGATATTCAAACCATATTTGCATTGCAAAAACGACCGATCCGTTCTGTGTACCGTCTAGGCTCTCGGGTTTCTCTCAGAGAAAAGTTTAAGGAGACTGGTATCATGACTGTGGCATCACAGTACATTTACTCAAATATTTTAAATGCCCGTAAAAATATACATAATTTCAATAAGAAAGAAGATATCCATAATATTAACCTTAGAGCTAAGTCCAAACTCACGATACCACGATTTCGTTTAACCAAGGTAAACAACTCTTTTATGGGGAACTGTATACGTTTTTACAATAAGATTCCGGAGCATATATTAAATTTATCATTTCCTAAGTTTAAAAACAACTTTAAAAATATTTTGATCGAAAAATCATATTACAAAATTGAAGACTACGTGTTAGATAAAGATGTATGGAAAGACGACATGGCTTCAGAATCCACACAAATTTGATTCAAAGTGTATTCCATATGCATTTAAGTTTATTTGAAAATAGCAATCCCCAGAGTTTCTTGCTCGTTCTTCTCAGGGAGGCCAGCGTAGTGAACGAGCAGTAGCTTAAATGTGACGTTTTCAATTGTAAATTTATTTTACCTATGGAATAAATAATCTTTGACTTTGACTTTGACTTTGCTTAGGTCGAAATTAGAGCCATACGTATATCGTATTAGTATATGTGTTCTATTTAGTTCAGTTGATATAAAAAAATCATTAGTACTCATGTAAAGTACCTATTGAATGCAGCGGTTTTCTTGTAAAATAACGAGGCAAGTTTGTGTTTCTTTCTATCGTGAAAATTTTTTGGAATCGTGTTTTCACACTATGTGGTAATACACGTGTATATCCTGAATTTTACTATATATTTTTTCTAAAGTTATTGATGTAACACCTTCACTATCATGCGGAATCAACTTGAGCTATTTGAGGTCATGTAAGACTAGATTGCACTGGCTGTGCTCACGGCTTACTGATAGAGTATGATTAATTGAGACACCCGTGTCCACGACCAATGCAACCTGGCCGAAATATCGGGATAATGTAGGTGTGAAATATTGAAAAGTAATGTATATAAAAGTAGGCTGTATGAAAGCAAACCGTTTTATAGTTGTATTATCTACCGCTTGGTGGCGCTGTGCCTGTGAAATTTTAGAGGATGGTAAAATTTCCATTTCCTAAGCTGTGAACATGGCGTTGTAATGTCAGTACAGTTTTGTGAGAAACTTTCACTTATTTAAATATAGAAGTTACAAGAAATCTGATTTATTATTGTTCCAATTCCAAGTTGACAATGTTTATTAAATCATAGTCATAATTAATTTACTTGTGAAAACACAGGTTGTATGGAATGTGTTTTTATTATGACACCAAGTGACAGGACAGACAAGTCGTGTACCGGGTGTTACTAAGTTAGCAGTTACGGTGTCTCTCAGAGCTTTAAATCGCAAAGATCTGAGGCTCACAGCCACTGCGCTCGTCACCCTGAGACATACCGCGGCTCACCCGAGGTACTAGCCTCTCGAAGAACCGGATGAAGTCAAGTGATACGGTCTGTGACAACCCTGTACAGTACCTGAACTTATAAGGTTCCTGTGCGCGCACAGGTTAAGTGCCCTTCTCGTATACCTACCCTAAGGGCGGTAGTCACTATAATCAAAACTAATGTAGAAAGTTAAGGTTCTGTGTTCAGCTAAACATTAGGCATACAAATATATAGAAGGTACATTTCGCATTTACTCATATGTGATTCAACAGATTGAACAGGTGTGACATGGTTCTTTTTTAAATACTAACACATGGGCATGCAAACATGGATTTAATAAGTTCGTCAGTAATTTAAATTGTTTACTTTCCTTGAAATGTTAATATAATGCGAAGCGAAAGTTTAAAAGTGTATATAATAAATAGTTCATGTTAATATAATATATATATACAATAGTTTGTTCTTCGTATCAATGTCTTTGTCTATTCTTCCTAAAAAAGACACTATCCCGACACGTAGTGCTCATAGCATCATCGTATTGGTCTTTATCAGAGCTCAGATACCGGCAGTTCTCGAGCCCACTGGCGGTGAGAGAATGACTGTCGGTCCATGGAAGCTAGGGAGACAGTTAGTGTGGGACGCAACCTGTGTGGACACTGTAGCGCCCTCCCATGGCCTTGCAAGCGTGGGCGGCGCAGGCTCTGTCGCCAGAACGGTCGAGTACTGCAAAAGGCTCAAATGCCACTTTGCTAAGTGCTACAGCTTTATGCCTTTTTTTAAGTTTAGGTATTCAAAGGGGAAATGTTGCTAGCCTTCTGGGTACGATTCCCCAGGGCACAGCCGTCGAGCAAAACTTTCTACTTATAAACTTTACATTATATTTATATTATGTTTATATTATTTCTCGGCATTGTCATACATAGTCTATGTTTAGTAATAAATATTATTTTAGTTTATTCTTCTTAATATAAATTACGTTGTTTTAATTTTTCTGAAAGCTAATGTTTATATAAATAATATTATCTATCACAAATTAATAAAAGGTCAATTAAGAGTACTCACCAAAAATATTTGACCTTTTTTAAAAAAAAGGTCAAATTGAACGGTTGATTATTAAACAATCCACATTGAAAAAACAAAATCACCGAATTTACTTTTTATTTATAGTTCAAGTTTAAGAATATATAAACGCGCTCGAATTTAATAACGCGCTACCAGCACGCGCGTTCGTGTGGCGTAAAAACATGTAACTTTGGCAAACTTTGTTTGGAGACAACGGCGGCGCAGGCGCAGCGCGAGAGGTAAAGCCACCACTCTGCGGGTTATTGCTTCTGAAGTTGCTAAACAAAGGACTACAAGTACTTTTGTCACTTTATCGTATCGGTAACTGTGTTATCATTGAGTACATTATTTTCTAACATTAAAGGTTTTTAACAATACGCATTAAATAACCTATAATTTAATGCGTATTATTAAAAGACCTTTCTCTATACTTGTATACTTTTGAAGCAGACGGAGTTATATGCATATAAATCACCTTAGTGGACTATGGTAGTTTAATATTATGTAGCTTAATTCTTTTTGTTATTATTATTAACACAGTGAAAAATTATTTCGATCTGACAGCATCCAAACCAGCGTCTGTGCCATACCAAGGCAATCAGGATCGAGTCAGCAGACGATACGAATTTTTCAATGCGTTTGTTACAGATTTTTGATTTCAGGTTTCAACGGATTTTTTTGCAATAGCGCCATCTGTGATACCGTTACCAGAGGATCTTTTGTTATTTTTATTCCATTCAAGGGTGACAATTAAACATCATAATTAGTATATCACCACAGAATATCACTGCCGGGTTATTTTGCATACATAACCAACAATGTTGGATCTCAATAATAATAAATAATGTGCCAAACAACTACGCCAATGACCCGGTTTCAAACTTAAGAATTCACAGTAGCATACATATCAGAGTAACAAAATTCTCTTCAGAGGCCTTAGTTTTGTGTAGGTTTGTAACGACAAAAAAGCCGGATCGTGATATACACTTCATGTAGCGCTGTCTCACAACGATTCATTTTTTTTATATCGTAATAAGACTTCATAGTAAGACCTCCAGATCATCAGAACCAATTTAGAAAAGTTCATTTGAAAGTGTCAAATCGCTTATCGCAACACATTCTTAGTTATAGTCTAAATCGAAAGTCATGTTCGTAGGTTATCCATAGTGGGAAATGGCATTAATTAAGGATTTTGTCCTTTGAGACTATGTACTCTCAAAGCCCTTTGCCCTACGGCAAAGATTATTATTAATATTAAATCGCAAAGATCTGAGGGGTACTGCCATTGCGCCCGTCACTCTGAGACGTAAAATGATAAGTCCCTTGTGCCTGTGACTTCACCAGCACCCTTACCATTCCAAACCCGAAGGGCATTAATGCTCACACCACTGCTTGGTGGCAGAAATATCTAAGGTGGCAGTACTTTCCTGGACGAACTCTTTCACAAGATGCTCTACTGCTACGGTACAGCAGTGTAAATAGAGTTTAAATCGACCAAATATTTTTTTCTTCTTCTCTGTTTCTTGAACCAGGTAAGTGTTATAAAACATCAAACAACGCACATATCTGGAGTTCCACAAACATAAACAAGAATTTACCAAGCGAGTACAGTATTTGTTGCTAGATTTACACTGATTGACAAAGTTCGTTATGGAAGTATAAACGTTATGACACGCACAGAGGGCACACATTTACGATATCATAAAATGACACCTCCAACGCCAGCTGGTGCTGTACGAAAATTTTATATCACGTATGTCACCACAGTATTATTTATATATATCATTATTATTTATTTTTTATATATCAGTATTATTTATTTAGATACACCATCAGTACATACATAGAGCAACTTACACTGTTTTTTAACCGACTTAAAAAAAGGAGGAGGTTCTCAATTCGACTGTATTTTGTGTGTGTGTGTGTATGTTATTATAATATGTTAATATTCCACCTCTAAGGGTGGCAAACTAGGGGATGAATCTGGTTTCGCGTACTTTCCGGTAACCTATTTTAATAAAACTTCGCAAATAAATATAATTCCACGAACTTTTCGGGTCGGTTTTTTTAATCATCAGTCATATAAATTTTTATACAGTATGTTATACTATTACAGGCGTTTACAACAATGCTTTTCAAATGTGTAAAGACAACTCGCTTATATCTGTACTAGTTGATGCTCGCGACACTGCTTGAGAAATTATTGGTTCTACTTTCAAACTTTCATCTCCTATATCTCCCCCTTCAGAATTTATTTTTGTGACATAAAGAACCCTACATCCTTCTCCTAGATCCCATCTATATCTCTGTACCAAAAATATTAAATTTAGTTCAACGGTTTAGGCGTAAAAACATAACAGACACCGTTACTTTCGTATTTGAAATATTAATTTGAACAAGTTACGTTAATATGATAAAAGAGTGTGTGCAAGGGCTCTACTCTTATTCTCTGTCCGATATTTCGCATCAGTTCCGAATCCGAGAAGTGACGGTCCGAAATGTCACAAGGATCATATTATCTACTTACAACATTGACTTACAAATAAATGGACGACGGGTCTAATACAAAAACCACGAAAAAAATGTCCCAAGTCAACCTATTCGAAATTTAAATTGTTATGTCATCGCAGTATCGCGCTGTCCGTAGAACACATGAAGACTAAAGCGGAGTGTCGCGCTCTGTATACGATTTTAGCGCCTTACAAGTGCGGACACTTTTTAGCGCGGACCCGACGTCCATATAATTGTAAGTCAATGCTTACAAGCGATATTCGTATTTTCTCGGATTGGAATCGAACTTAGTGCACAAGCGACATACGAAGTGCGTCTGTAGATTTGTTATTGTCTTGTATTCGAATACAAATCATGCAGTGTGTAGACGCGCTTACTGTCAAATAAATAATACTTGACAAATAAAAACAGCGTCAGGTATGAAGCTTCATTCGCATCATGCGTTTGGTAATTTGGTCAAGTATTACTTATTAGACAGTAATTGTTTTGGATAGACGTCGCACGGAGAACCAGACTATAGGGTCAGCACTGGACGTCTCTTTGCTGATGATCATAAAAATAGTGGTGGTAGCATAATGAGAGGACAGTTGCTCCGCAATAACAATTGAACGGAATTTTACTAACGGAAAATTATTATTATAATGAACGTATTATTTAAAAAAAAATGAAGATATTATTTACATAATTAAAAATAAAATTAAATGGATTTACATTGGATTAAACGAACCAGAGAAATGCGATACCTTAATGACTTAAATACCGGGATAGGAGCTTGATTAAATGGCTAAAATGGGTCTCCCGCGACAAGGTACCCAAAGAGCAAGCAGATATCCCTTTTGTATTATGATATTACATTAATTAAGATATACCTGCCAACCCTCCATTTGGTTGAATAACTTCTCAAATATGATTTATGAACGCCTTCAACATTAAAAACAATTTCAATAAATTATTTATGTAATTTAACCAAGAAAATATAAATAATACATAAACAGAAGTTTACTTGTAACTCCTAGGTTTCCTATATGACTGTACGTGGTAGGCGGTAGACCTTGTTTCTGTCAATGTCAATGTACCGACTAGTTTATGTTTCACTCTGACATGGTGGCACTAGTGTTGAATTTGATGCAAATGTTTGTTATAGGTTGAAAAACGTAGCTCTTAAAAACTACGCAACGTGGGTGGGTCAATGATAAATTTGTTAGATATAATACGTGTCCAAACGTAAGGCCCGACTCCCACTGACGGCGCGGTAGGGATTTTTCAGGTGACGAATAGTTATATACTATACATTTTTAGTAGCTATAAAACGTCTTGTGAAAGAGTTCGTCCAGGGAAGTATTGCCACCTTAGCTAGTTCTGACGTTAAGTAGTAATATCAGCATTATACCAACCAAGGTAAACAACTCTTTTATGGGGGAACTGTATACGTTTTTACAATAAGATTCCGGAGCATATATTAAGTTTATCATTTCCTAAGTTTAAAAACTACATTAAAAATATTTTGATTGAAAAATCATATTACAAAATTGAAGACTACGTGTTAGATAAAGATGTATGGAAAGACGACATGGCTCCAGAATCCACACAAATTTCATTCAAAGTGTATTCCATAGCATTTAAGTTTATTTGAAAAGAGCAGTCCCTAGAGTTTCTTGCTCGTTCTTCTCAGCGTAGTAACCGAGCAGTAGCTTAAATGTGACGTTTTCAAGTGTAAATTTAGTTTACCTATGGAATAAATAATCTTTGACTTTGACTTTGACTTTGACATTACTGCGTTTCGGTTTTGAAGGGTAAGGGTGCTGGTAAAATTACAGGCTCTTAGGACTTGTCAACTTCTGTCTCAGGGTGACGGACGCAGTGGCACTGTGCCCTCAGATCTTTGTGATTTGTGGCAATGTAACTGTCATAGATGGCGTATCGCTTAAGTCATAGCTACGAAAACAAAGCTGTAATATCCTCAGGTGTGCGTCCTATTTCAAGACCTATTTCAAGTCCCTGAGGAAGATTTCTCAGTTCCTGAGACCCATGAAATGTTACAGGATGCAGGAGTTAACAAGCTTGACTGTGAGTGCGGTCTCTCTTATATTGGACAAAGGAAGCGAAGTATTTGTACCCGCGTCAAAGAACGTATAGCTGATGTCAAAAACCGTCGCGTAAAAAAGTCTGCAGTCTGTGAGCATGTCATGGATAAACCTAAACATTCAATGAAGTTTGACAAACCCCAGATCCTTGCAAAAGAAGTCCGTTATCTACCCAGGATGCTGCGAGAGGCTATCGAGATTAAAAACATCCTAATTTCATCAGGGAAAATTGTTTCTCCGTACCACCAGTTTGGGATCCAGTATTTCCTCTGATCAAAGATCCCGAACAGACATAAGACTGCAGTACTAATTAATACGTTTTAATTTTTTCTAATTTCCATTATTAATTAATAATAATTTTAACTTAAAAAAATTCATATTGTTACAATAAAATAATTCGTAAAACAATGTAGCTTAAGTTGGAATGTTTCTTTGTAAAATTAAAAATAAGATATTTAATTAATAACTTTTGTAACTATAGTGAAAAATAAGGTGGTTTGCACTAATATTAGAAATAACTGGTTGATGATTGTATTACCTCAGTCAACCGTGACCACGGGACCTGTAAAGGGCCCGAAACGATGGTTTGTTTGAAAAAACGAATATACGCGATTTAAATCCGGAGAAATAGTTACATTTCCTATAAAGCTGTAGTAAGCTTAGGGATACCGAGCCGGCAGCATTCGGGTTACTTCTTTTCTTCTTTTTCAATAACACACTGATAATAAATCGTCTCGCAACGTTACGACTGATCTGAAGAGAGACCTTGCTATGCTTCGACATGCCTAAAGGTACCGCAGCATAATTGAAGTAAGTGCAGGAATGCCGAAGAATACCTTGCCATGCCGCGATACCATTCCGTCAATGTGCGCTAAACCTTATACGTTACTTTGTCATGAATGAATACAATAATGCAATGAATGGCGTTTGGTCGTTGAAATCACGTTTTTAATTCTTATCCGGAGATGTGTTGATGTTGTAACGAGTGCTATGCTACACGTAGTTTGTTTACTCATTACTTCCGTAGCGACGAAAAACCGTTAAATGGTTACCAGGCCACATTTCAAACAGCGATTTAGAATTTTTGCGTTAATTTTTACTGCTAACTGATGATAAGCTTTATTACTTTTTTATGTAAAAGAGTTATTTGTGGACCTCGTTGCAATTTAGCATCTAAAAATATAAGTGATCACTTGAATACAACAAGGATCAATTTTCATTTCTATGATTGTTAGGTAATGCAAATTTCACATAAATTGTGAAACAGGTTATTAGCTACGTACCTATCAACTACCTTTGAAATAATATTATTCACATTGTTATATAATATAATAATAATAATAACAAATAAAAAATAATAAAAATATGAACTGCTATTAACTTTAAGGAGGAATGAATACTTGTGCTTTATTTTTATAACCGTACAATATAGGACCATATTCTTTCGAATTTTTAGTGACCATAAAAGCTGAACGGTGAGTTTTCGTTTATTCGTTTTTTATTATTATTTTTTTACATTTGAAAATAAAAAAGCGCGATTTTCATTAATTGTGTTTAAAATACATTTTAATTTTGATTAAAAACACGGCATTGTTTATATTTTTTTAAGAGTAAGTAGGTAAATGACTGACTTGTTGTTTGATATAGTCAATTTTATATGTATGATTGCAATATTTAATTATACTAACAATAAAAACGCCAAAACAATTAGAACCCTGTAGTTTTACTTATTTACCAGAATATTATTCGACTTTATAAATTACGGAGGTCCGGTATAGCTGGTCATGTGATGTTTTGTCACGTTACTATACAATTCCCTTTCATTGGCCTTGTGGACAACCTTGTAATATTGTTGTTAGTCGCCATCCACTGAGATATTCGACGTCAACGTATCTTGGTACATTAAAATATGCGATGAAATGCTAGAGTATCATGGTAACTAGTAAATATTTAAAAGTCTTTAACAGCTGTCTTAATTGAGGCCGTGAAGATTGCGTATTTACTTGCCATGTTCGTCTGTTAGATAATGCTGTATGAATGTTTTGAAATGGCTGGTCTTGGTATTTTTAAACAGTGTGAGAAATAGAATACGCAACTATTGTTAGCTTTGTATTCGTTTGGTATGAATAAATGCACTTTTCTCTGTTTGCTTTTGTACTAAAACAATGAATTCACAATATTAGTGTACTGTGGAAGTTAATACACTTATATGCTACTTAAAATGTGGTTAAATTACAAACTTTGGACCTAAAAAGCATTTATTTAGAAAACGGATTACTCTGCTCCATATTGATAAATAACAGAGAGTTGCACTATCCTGTATTCGATTTTCGATTGTCATTTTTGCCGAAAAATAATCGAATATAGTTACTAATTTAGTAATTAATATTAAATTTTCGGTGCCAAAAAAAGATCCCTTATACTATAAAAAAATCGATCCTATTACTTATTTAGTACCAATCGATCCTTACTAATTTAATAACACTGAATCCTGTTACTATTACGATATTCGATCAACAATCAAAAATTAGTAGTAATTAGTAGATTATTAACTATTTTGATTCACAATCGATATTTGATCAACAATCAAAAAGTGCAGTGTTGGAACCAATTAGCTAACTATCGATATCGATTATGTTTATAATCGAATAATTAAAAATAAAAAGTGTGATAACTCCGTACAAAGTGACAGCGCAGCTCGTGTGTGACCGCGACCGCCGCGCGCCGTGTACTGTGTAACTGCCTCCGTGACCGAACGGTTACCATGCTGGACTACCACGCAGAGGTCCCAGGTCAGGTCAGGTCAGGTCAGGTCATTCGATTCCCGGGTCAGGAGAAATATTTGTATGGCCTACATTTATTTCTCTCGTGAGTTTGGGTGTAATTTGTGGTTGTCTATGTATGTGACCATGGCACCTGCGACACAGGGTTTCCCTAGTGCGCGGCTATGTTAAGTGTGTGCGTTATTTATTTATTTATTTATTCATGTTGTCAGTAGAAATTTTACCGCAATAAGAGGGCTAAAAATCTATCTCATAGCTTTTACATTCTTGCTAAGCTCGATTTGAAATATTCTTTCTTATTTCTTAGAGTGTCGGGAAGTGGCGTTATAATTTTCACTCTAATAAATCTAAGTGCTCTTGTCAGTGTACTCTTTAAGTAATATTGCTATATATAGAAGGCAGAGGGATAAAAAATAACGTTGGCTTCTATGTCAAGTTTATTGTGTTTACAAATTGTTTCTGTGCCTTAGGAAATATGTATTGTATGGCTTAGTAAATAAACAAGAGCATTTATTTGAAAAAACAGTAAAAAAGACCATCTCAAAGTACAATGAACGTTTATACACGCAATGAACGTTCTTAAAAAAAATAATGATATATCGGGGGAGAATGATCAAGAAACTCTAGGGGTTGCACTTTATAAATATTCATTTAAATACATTAACAGTTACAACATTTTTTTCAAATATTTTCGACATCGATCGAGAATACCAGCTAGAGCTAAACGGATACCACGGATTTTTGTACGCACAAGCTGTTTAATTAATAACGTTTCGTATAAAGTTTTAGTTTCATTAATGTTTTAAACCTCGTAAATAGCAAATAATGATATTTTTTGTAAATTCAAGTGACGAATAAGTCGTGCGCCTGATGGTAAGCTATACGCCTGTCCATAACAGTTACAGTGCCACTCAAAGCTTTAAATCGCAAAGATCTGAGGCGCATTCCTACTGCGCCCGTCTCCCTCAGACATAAGTTGACAAGTCCCATGTGCCTGTAATTTCAGCAGCACCCTTACCCTTCAAAACCGGAACGCAGTAATGGTGACATTACTACTTGGCGGCAGAAATAGATAAGTTGGCAGTACTTTCCGGGACGAACTCTTTTGCAAGGAACTGTACTGCAACGAAATATAGTGTATATGAATACGAAAGCAACGCAATTCACTCTGGGGCACTACCCAGAACACCCAGACCGCAACCAATTTAGAAAAGTTCATTTTCCAATTTTGGTCCTACTGAGAATCGAACCCGGAACCTCCTCAATAAGCGGCCACAGTACATATCGTTGGGCCACCAAATTCAAAAGCACCTGTTGATGTACCAAAGGGTACGAAATGTAGTAATTCTAATGCGATATTTTCTCATCTATGGATGGTGAATTAGGCTGTACCCATACAAAGGTAGAAATACTATACCACCTGTTTATAAAATGCACCATGTTCTTATAATTATAGTTAGCGTGTATTGTTGCTATTTGAATGGCAAATGACGTTGCGCAAACTTAATGCAATACAGAACCAACCACACTCGCGTTGTGGTGCAGTTTCGTTTGTATTTTAAATTGAATTTGTGACGAAAACAATCAAAGTTTTCAATTGGACATCACTGTGTAGTTCCATGACGATAACAATTTTGTTATGGGAACTAAATATCTCTGTCCGCTCTCAACTAGCAATGCTTTTTCTGAGTGTGTACAAAATTAGTTATTAACCTTATGATTTCAGAAACTAAATTATTTAAGCAGAGCTTCTTGTGAAAGAGTTTGTCCAGGGAAGTACTGCCACTTCAGTTACATTCTGTAGACATTACAGGCACATCCTTTTCAAGGTGAGGCGTTACTTCACATCGGGACAGCCCCATATCTTTTTACAATATTTTTGATTATAGCGACTCTTCCTACCGACCCTTAGGGTGTACGAGTAGGGCACTATGACCCGTGTGAGCGAACCCGCACAGGACCATCTAAGTCAGGTCCTGACCCCGGATCAGCACGTTTGCATGGACTTCATCCGGTTCTCTGTAAGGCTAGTGCCTTAGGTGAGCCGACCCGGGTGCACGTACAGCACCCTCCCTATTTTCCAGATAGGTACCAGGGCTGTAGGCACGCTCATTTTCCGTCGCGCTCCGCATGACTCAGTTGCCACCGCTAAGCCGCCGACTCTAAGTCGATTATCAAATCTCCTAGTTAATGGCGGATCTGTAAAGCACGCTCACTTCCCGACGCCGAATGAACGGCGTCTCTCCAGTTCCCGAATTCCTACGCGGCTGGAGGGACCGGAAGATGTCTAGCTCATTCTCTACTACCTCTCCGGGCTAGTGCCGGAGATGCCAAGTAGCAGTGACAGTGACTTGCGACATTGTCCGGATATAGCTACTGTAAGGGCCGTAGCTGTGGGTTAGCCTAGCGAGAGGCACATTTCAATGAGAAACGAGGATTATATTCATCAATAAAGATTTATTGCGTGTTTTCAGTTCGAAGCTTTTCTAGAACCACCAAGATATTTTTTTACAATACTATTTCTTTAATATAATTTTAAATACAAACCTACATTCATTCAGCCAACACTAATACAAGTCATAACGCCTGGTCTACATCCCTCCTCCTAACAATTGAGTGGGGGGGGGGACTTTCCTAGCAAGTGCCGTACCTATGATAGGAAAATTCACATAGGTGATCAGTCTTTACTACAGGCTAGCCACACACTGCTCGGAAGTCGTTATACCTCTAAAAAAAAAATACCGAGGAGGCAATGGCTTTAATCTGCCAAAAACCTATCTGAAAGGACATTATGATCACTCCCAAGCAAACAATTAAAAAATATTTAATCTTTGCCTATCCTAGCTATTTATGTATTCTAGCTAAACCCTAACTTTTTATTTAAGCTAAAATCCTACCTTGGTTGAATTCCACTAAAATCTTTATTTCACTTTCAAATAGATAATCTCCATCGTGCACGCTGTTAAGACAACATCACAGGCCTGAACATCCATCGGATGCTCACTGGGTTACATGAATATAGATCTCCCAGCTGCCTTCGTCCTCGTCCTGCAGCTATCCACATACCATCCATCAGCTTTTATTACTTTACTTGGACAAAGCAAAGAACACACAAATTATCCTAACAAAAATAAACAGGAATAATTATTGTATGATGATATATCATATTGAAGATTTATAACAAATTAAACCAATATATTTTCCCTTGAATGCATACAGTTCTTGTTCATATGGAGGAAAGATCAAGAACCATACACAATATACAGGTTAATATATTCATGAAATCAAAATAAAATAACTCATATTCATCCAAGCTAGTAATCCATCTCTTCCTGTTCTTCTATGTTAGTATCTATTTGCATTCGCCAGAAAGACTTCCATCCTACAACATTGTTGTCATCACGGCCTCATTGTTTTACTAACGCGTTTAAAAATATTATTTTTCGGTTTATATACTTTCGGCTTATCATTCTTCTTCTTTTAAATGTCAAGTAAAAATAACTATGTACGGTAGTTTAATATTATTATAAAAATTATACAAAAAAAATGGCGATTTCGCCAATGTCCTGTGAGAAAATTTATTTCCGGCTTATCATTGTTATTTCTATTAAGCTTTTGACGCATTTGACAACTCTTACCAATCACGTTAACTTTTTCTGTTTACAGAAAATCTGTAGCGTATACATACTCTGATCTATTTACCGACAAATTATTAGAACTTTTTGAAGATACTCGCTCGAAAGAACAATTTTCTTCTCTCGACACGACATCAGTCATGAAATTGAACGAAACTTCAACATTGTCAGTCATTGAAGTTAATAGTTGCCTCGTATTCTCTTAAGAAATCCTGGCCCAAGATAAGAAGTTCCTCATCATCTTGCACTACAAGAAACCTTGATGGATATTTATTTCCAATTGATTGTCATCGAAACTTTGGTGGACGCCTGCACTTTTATTGGCGTTCCGCCCTCTGTACGCAATGGAAAATTCGGAGCTTCTTCATCTGGAAACATAACTTTTTTGCAAAACAATGAGAGATTATTGAAACCGAAGCATCAGTATCCACCGATGAATCGCATTTCACATCATTAATAACAAGAGATGTAAAGAGTGCCCTATCTACATCAAAACTATCAACTGTGTACAAATTTTCCGTAACGACCACCTGCGCCTTGACGACATCCACGTAGAGGATATCTCGATGAAGATCCACTTCTTTGTGCTTGTGAATACACTTGACGTGGTGTATCCGCCACGATTGGTACCTGTGGTGTTTGATAATGTGACTGTATAGACACGGGTCCAACTATCGGTAAAGAATCACCCTGTGCTTACCAACAGTGAGAGTGCTCCTTAGGAAAACATATTGGTAATTCGATACTTTGTTGTCCCACATTGTATTCCTGATTAAATATATCGTCCATTTTATAATTGCTCTTTTAGCTTTTGTTCAATAATGTCATACGTCATGTATGGCGAAAAATTGGTTTTATATTATTGAAGAGCTGGCCCTTCAAGATACATTGCAATCACGTACCTTTTTTGTACATTTGACCAATTATTAATCACGCTGATTGTCTCAAACTGATTCATAAATTAGTCTACATCGTTTAAGTCAGAAAACTTCCGCGCTGCGATCCAATTCATTTTCTTTCTTGCACTTTTTACTAGCACGAGGATAAAGGCAAATAAATAAATAAAAATACAAATTACGCCCTTATATGTATGTTTCTTTTCCATTCTTCGGAGATTTTTCCATAAAATCGTGTAAAACTTTTTTCAAATCGGTGCCTCCACCATTTGTAAGGGTAGTAGCTGAGGCTTTTTTTATATAATTCTAAATACAAATCTACATTCATTCAGCCAGCGCTAATACAAATCATAACGCCTAGTCTACATTACCGACTTAAACGGCAACGCACGTGCCCCGCGCGTCTTCTTGCTTCAGGCCCTCAACTAGATCGATACTAAGATTACTAAGATGCGCTAGTTGTGAGCGGGTCAAACGCCCCGGCCACACACCACCAGGGCAGACGAACGTGTCCGTCCATACAGCTAATCACAAACCCCGTCGAGTCCATACCTAAGTCCGGGTACGTCAGACGCCCGTGAAGGTGCACGACAGGCGGAGGGCTTGGCCCGGACGCCCGCTGTAAGGTAATGATTATTATTATTGTTTTATTTTCTTTCTGCTTTATTGTTCACATTATAATTTGTGTATCGACTTGTACTTATGACTAGAATTGTGAGTGCTTTGCGTGACACCGTAAACTCTCAATATATGTATATTTTTTAGTAAATAAATAAATAGACAAGCGTGACAAGAGGCTTATAGGTGACTCGGAATTAGTAGAGCAACGCTGCAGAGCCTTAAACACCGCCGTAGAGTAGCCTGCTTATCAGTAATCTACAGGATGTATCACGGAGAGTGTGCGATGGAATTGCATAATTTGACTCCGCCTTCCCCTTTCCATCATCAGGGGACTAGACGTGGTATACGGTACCACCCCTATGATGTGGATTTCCGAGATTCGCCCGAAGCGTTTCGCCTCCACATTTGTATGGCGAGCGCCTACGGAGTGGAATTCCCTGCCTGCGGACATGTTCCCCGAACGCTATCCATATCTTGGACCTTTTCAAGGCGAGAGCGAATAGGCATCATTTAGGTGTATGCTACATCGTCGACCGCATCGTCACTTTCCATCAGGTGAGATGGAGATCACTTAGTTTTTATATAAAAAAAATTACTTAGTTTATTATCAGCACTTAGTTTTTATATAAAAAAAAATCATGAGACATGTCATCTCTCTTGTCAATATCTCAGGGCGACGGGCGCAGTGACAGTGTCCCTCAGGTCTTTGCCGTTTTTTGTTTTTTGTCCGTCTCTTGGTGTCATAAAAAAACATTGCCGAGTATCATACTTTAAAATGACATAATCAACATCAAAGTACAAATAGATTTAACTAGATTCCATGATTTATTTCATTTAGATGGCGAAACATACACCACTATCACGAAGTCAATTTGGCTCTAACAATAATCAATAAAGGTTGATTATGCTTGCGGGTCAATCACTTCGTTTATGGCGAAATGTAATGAAATGATTATATTATGAGTGACGTAAATTGTAAATAAATCAACGACACTAGGTACATATGGACTATCAATATGAATTCCCGCAATCTTTGTGCAGCTATTTAGATATATCTAGCGAGTTATGTCAATGTTGCCAGGGCTTTAAACACTCGAATTCGCATAACTTAGTTAATAAATCAAAGATAATTTTCTTTTTATTTTATATGATTAATAACTAAATGAAAAATAATATTATTTTAAGTCTCTGTCTATCCTTGTAAGTGCCAGGGATGGTATATCCGGTTTTTTATAAACTGTTCAAATAACAAGTTTCCTAAATATGTTATAACCGATAAATTAATAGGGGTTTAAATTTGAAATTATTGCCGATTTATCGAACTGGCCACTTAGAATGAAAATCAAACCTACATGGCGTCAGATTTCAAATTTCAGAATTCACACGAAAACTAAAACATTCCTAATTTAAAAAACATGATGTATTTAGTCGTTCGAAATACAATTATTTTTATATTTAGCTTTTAACGTGAACATCGATACAGCGAAAATCAGAGTAATTTTCAAATACGAGTTCCCACACGGGGTTAGCTGGGGTTAGCGCAGCAGAAACTGCCCGTAACGTCAATGCTGTGTTTCGAGAGGATACGGCTAACTTCGATAATTTTCGAAATTTCGACTTGAAAAATGAACTACAAGAAAGACCAGTCACTAAGGTAAACAATGATGAATTGAAGGTGATGATGGAAGCCGATCTGTGTAAAACTACCAAAGAATTAGCGGCATGGTTTAATGTTAGGGATACCCACAATATAACATATGGCATTTGAACAATGACGGCGAAACTCGCAGCAAAACAGCTTCACTATTATTGCTCCATGATGACGCAAGACCACACTTCTCATCATCCGTCATCCTACGTACTCGCCGGAACTCTCCCCAACCGACTACCATTTTTATGCGATTTGGACTGTTTTTGCACTAAAAAAAATATTCCCACGAGGCAGCACAAAATGCTTTGACTCAGCTTGTAGAGTCCAGGTCCCCAGAGTTCTAACGCAAAGGTCAAATATTACTTTTAATGTTTTTTACTTTTTTATTATACATCTTCCTCTCTATGGTTTTTTAGTATTTCCTCACATTGTTTGAGAAAAACACTATACAAGCCTCGGCGGGAACGGGGATTGCTTGACTCGTATTAATACAAGTATTAAGTAATGGTAACTTATGCTCGCCCGGCAATCCCTGTCCAACTCATACAGCAATCTAAAAGTTTTTGTAACCTGTGTATCACAAAGAAATAAATGAATTTGAATTTGAATTTTAATCCCTTACTTCCCGGCCTCAGCAGTAATGTACTATATGTTACAAAAAACATTTTTTTTTCTGTTCCGAACTGTAATTTTATACCTTAACCCCTAATATTAACCGTGTTATGTAGTAACAGAGCTAAATAGCGCTACGTCGAACAATATAGCGCTTTGTTTATAATCTATTATTTACCACTGCCATTGTGTGAATGGATAAAGTTATTATTATCACCAGCATGCTACACAATGCCTAATATACTTCGCAAATATTGTCATAACAATTTAACAAGAGCGTCTTCAGAATGTAATAAAGTACTTAGACATCACTGACGACGCATGTATGAGATATGTAATAAGTAAACCAATTTGTTGAGGTAATAGAAGTAAGTATTAAAAAGTTAAAAATAAATATTTTTATTTAAGCATCTAACGCATGTAATATTGCTAAAGCTTAGCAAGTGCAGTTGGTCTTCACAGTGGGCATGAAAAAAAGAAAGAAAAACGTTTATTCAATCAATTGAGTCACTTTACACTTAAATCTAATACTTAACACTAAAACAACAAGCTGTATAACTAAGTATTTTTAGGTCAGTATATGTGACGCAGCAAAACATCTCACTCGGGCGAGAGAAACGCTGATTTTCAGTCGTTCCTGTTGTAGCGTCGACTAAGTCCTTAGAGAATGTTTCATATATGAATAAAATAGAATAGAAATATTTTATCCCAAAAACAAACAACACAGCACACATAAATTTAATAATTAGGTATAATACATAGTAAACAGGAAAAAAAACGCAAAACAAAAGCGAAAATAAATCCTATTAGTTGATTCGCACAAAGATAACACACAAACATGAAACAAAAAACTATAACAATAAATAAAGAGTAAAATTTATTTTGTTTTCATTTTTTGCCTATTATTTTGAATTACTGGAAGTTTAGGTAAATATAACACTTATAAGATTTCTGACTATTAACCGGAAATGCGAAGGGCTGCTGGCAACAGATGAATGCAATAAGAGGCCTATGTCCAGCAGTCGTCTACAACAAGCTGTTGTTGATGATGAACCGTAAATGTGCCAGTAATCAATTGATTTTCAACTTAATTCCCTTAACTTCGAGGATCAAAATTAAGAAACTAGTTCCGGGATTAGCATCTAAAACACCATCATAATCAATTTAAAATAGTTTGTTTTCTAATTCGAAAGGACCATTTGGTCCTTCCGTGAATCGGACATTATTTGGAAATGGTAAAGGATTATTTTCATGAAATGTTTCAGGCGTACCCCAGAATATTTGCTAGTTTAATCCTATTTACTCTGAATTCTCGATTCCCTTCAAATATTCAAATGAATAATTCAAATTTGAGATTTTTCTATTTAACCAGTTATTTCAAACAAGTATAGACCATAATACTATAGAGTATAAGCATAGTATTATAA